ATGGATTTACTTTAGAACTAAGGTCTCGACTCCGTATTACAAAAAAAATCTTTAAACAAGAAAATTGGAATGTATGAGTTTACTGGAAAGCTGACAGATAATTTGCAGAAATTCAAAGATGGATAAAAACAATCAAACCGACTTCAACACAAAGTGAGCGAGTGTTTTAACTCTTAGGAAACTTTTTAATTAAGCAGCGATCATCTGTCTCTTAAGGATAAAGTATTAATGCCTTATGCTTCCTCAAATGCTATTTTTTGAAATATATGAAAAATTGTTTAATTTTTTGGGTTATAAAATGAAAATATAGTTTTTTTTCAATATTTTATTTACACCACATATGATCTTTATCACCACTTTGAAAATATAGTTTTAAAATAGTTTTTAAAAAATTCACCAAGAATAACTGAAAAAAATTTCCGGTTCCCGAGAATGAAAAAAATGTCTGGGAATGAAATCCTCTAGTAACAACCCGCCCTCATATCACGTAGGGTGCATGATTGATTATGCACATGCACTACGTGGTCAGCTTGCAGCTGTATCAGCTAGATAAATACAAAGTGCACTAAGAAGATTCTCTAGATCTAGGCTCTAACTATGATCTAACCTTTGAAAGCGAAGTTTACAGTAATATACATCTGATTTGAGAATTCCATGTTCGACAAAGCAATTCTATCATAGCAGTCTGTGCCTAAGACGTGAAGACGAACGCTACTACTGCCGAAGTTTGACACGGCTTTGCTCGAAAGCTTTGGACTGAAAACAAGAATGATAAGTTGTATCATTTACCTCTACATTGTTTTCAAACTAAGTGTGACCTATTGGTATCTAAGGCTGTAACTGAACCAGTGCGAATTTTAAAATATACCTTTCAAGGAAACTAAACAAGAGAAAATCTTATGTTGATAACCTTGAAAAGCCTTTGCCCCAGTGAAGAGAGCATTACTGCAAGAATATAGATAAGGTTAGAAATATAATGCTGAATGTGCGAAACAAGCCTTAGCCATTAATACAGCCAAAGAAAAGGCTGCCACACTGGCTAGATAAAAGAAGAACTATAGCAAAGGTATCACCAAAAGCCAGGAAATGTCGAGAAATAGTTCTAAGAAAAGCTACGAGAAGGATAGGTCTAGAGCTCAGTCACTCTCGAGACTTAGTACCAAGAAAAGTTACTAGAAGGATAGGTCTAGAGACAAGTCACTCTCGAGACTTAGTACTAAAAAAATGCCATGAAAAAAGTGTAAAAAAATTAGGAACCAGGAATGGAAGCACTAAAAAGTAAGGAAACAAGGTAGGAATGGGCGGGTATCATTACAAAATTGGTGGTTTTTGACGCAGTGAAACCTTAAAATGGGCGTGGCCATCCTTCCGTCGATTGCACTTTAATCCAATTATAGACTTGAATTGAGTTTTGTCAGCAGCTAATCCTTTCTAAACACTAAACAAATTTAAAAAAAATAAAAATCAGTGGTTTTGATGCTATTCTTTTGGCACACGCCTTACCAGTCAGATAGCTATAATGTCTCTCATAAGCAAAGTATGACTATTGGAGTCTCCTGTCTCACTTCCGACATCAAACACCCACTTTATGACGTTATGCATTTCGAATTTTATTGCATACATGTATCTGTACTTGGTTGCTGAAACAAAGTTTATAACAGAGAAATTAGCTACACGCAGATTTCATTTAGTTTGAACATTTACCAAGTTATAAAAAGTACACGAAGTAGGAATGGGCGGAACGATGGCCACACCAACTTTGAGGTTGCACCATGTCAAAAACCACAAAGTGTTGTAATGTTGTCCCACCCATTCCTACATTGTTTCCTTAATTTTTGATGCTCCCATTCCTACTTTCTAATTTTTTTACACATGTTTTATGTACTGGCTAATTGTTAAATGTCAAAAATGATTTTCTCAAATATTCAGAGTACTTTAAAGTTTTAGGCCTGTTTCACTTATAAACTCATTTAACAGAACATTAGTCTGTAAATATTAAGGCGAACGTCTGTTTGCGAGATCATGGCTTTATATTATGGTGATTTGCATAGAATTATTTATCAAAACCTCCAAATCATCCATAACCTCTAAATCCTCTGTAATCAGTTTTGAATTTTAAAGATTATCTTCTGTATTTACTTCAGCTTTAGTTTTAACGCGTGTACAACCTTGAACACTAACAGGTGAGAAGTAAACAACATGTAGAAAAAAGGAAAGATAACAGAAATGTAATAATGGGAGGATAATACATAACAAAATCATAACAGACTGACTAGAAATTTGACAACTGATGCACTCACAAAATCATATCGTCAAATTGTAAACTCCATCCTTTTTACGGATCTAGCTGCTGATTACACGCCAAAATCTCCAGTCAGACAGAATAAAACATACTCCCCTCAAACCTCTTCATAATCTCCACATTGAAAGAATTTGAAAAATTCAACCAGGTATCTTGTTTCTCATCATTTAATGTACTCTATTGATAAAGTGATCATTACAAACTGTTATCTTCACATTTAAATAGTAGGCCATTTGTTTACATATGATGCCTATAAATATTATGAGATATTGTTATTTTGAGGTTGAAAAGAGTAGTTTACCCAAAAAGATGCTTAAATCAGCAGATTAGGAATAAAAATACTTCAAAAGTGTGGACATTACAAGTTGTATTTCACTTAATTAACGAGTAGGAAAAAGAAATGTAACATTTTGCTGATAATTACATATTGAGATAAAACTAAATGTACATTAGGTAGTGAGTGTTTTATCTGTTATAAGCTTTTATCATATATTTTTCTCGATCAAACGTATCATTACAGAACATATAATTTCGTCTATTTAGCTATTGCTCATAAGTAAAAATATTCTATGTATGTTCTGCTTGTCTGAATGTTGCCCAGTGGTTAGCATGTCGGACTGTAGATCTTGGATTCCGTGGATGGCGTCTCGTTACTGTAAAAAAAATAAAATAAACAGAAAAATTGCTCTGCGTATTTTGGGGCCGTGGGTACGTTGTAAGAGTGACGGTCAAATGTTACCCTCGAGTCTATTACTTCAAAATTAGCGCAGATAGCCCTGCGTAGTTTCACGCAATAATCAACAAACACACAAAAATATGTTCTGCTTTCAAACACAGACGAAACGTACAGAAGAAAATATAGATAATTTCTTCTAGTTCTTTTTATGAAATCTTTTATTTCAATTTGGAGAAAATGATACATAACGAAATCAATACATATCACTTAGCAACCGAGCTAGTACGAAGTTATCTTTTTAGCATAAATTTTACTAAGAGCCGGTAATTTTTAACTTCTGGGAAGAGTCCTTAGAATATCACCACTGGAGGGTGAAGAAACAGCTTTTTTTATGAAGCACTTGAAAACTTTTCATTTTTAGCGATCCACACTTGATGACAACCTCTTCTTTTCAGCAAACTAAAAAGGCGTGAACTGGATTTTTCTCTTTCTCTGTAGATACAATATATCACCAAAGATAATTAAATCTTTACTTCTAAGAATAATCAAAAAATTTACAGTAGACAATATTGGGAGCGTCATTTTGTTAATACTGTTCAAAACATGACGATGTATATTTATAAAGATATATTTATTGCTAAAGAAAACAGACGTCTTCGCTATTTTCAAAAACACACTTCTTTAGAGTTTGTGTAATACGAAAAAGTTAATTCAAGAATGTTGCCAGAATAACCTTTGATTATAATTAGAAAATTAAAGTTATTTCAAATGACATATATCCAATTTTATCAAAACCTTTCGGAAAATAAATAAATTTATCAATATCACCCAAGCCAATAAATCTATAAATAATATATGTGATTTTATTTAAATAAGCAATAATGATAGAAAAAAATATTAAATGAATGTATAATAATATAATGTATTAAACTTACTTTAGTCATTCCACCATATTCTGTAACCACCACCTGGAAAGCCGCCACCACCACCACCTCCTCCATAGTTCAATGAAAGCGGCAGAGCAATGATGCCATTACCAATTAATCCTAGACCTCCA